TTTGTTTTGTTTTTTTGCTCTGAATGCCCTCAGGCATGGTTTGTCTGGCTGGAGTGTTGGGGGAGTCGAACTACAGCAACCTGAGGCTCACAGCTTTGTGGAAGCAGCCACTTAAAGAACTGAGCTATGGCCAGGCCCCCTACGACATGGAAATAGGATCATTCCCAGTGACCTACAAGTTGTACTTATTTCACATCAGTGTGTGTGTGTGCATTAGAGATTGGACCCATGGTTTTGTACATACTAAGACAAGCACTGTACCACTAAGCTACAGCTTCAGGCCTATTTTTTTCTTTTTTTAAGATTGTGTCTAAGTTGCCCAGTTTGGCTTCAAGCTTTTATTTCTCTTGTCTCAGCCTCTGGAGCAGCAGGATTATAGGCATGTGCCGTCACAGTTCATATTCTTAGTTGGTTATCAGCATCACTAAGGTTTTAGGTAACGGCAAAATCAGGCTTCCTGCTGTAGTTTCATCCCCTTTGTGATCTATGTAAACATCAATGAGTTGATAGGACATGAAAATTTTTTCTATCAAAATTCATTTGGGGGACCAGGGAGATAGTGATATCAGTTGAGTAAGTGTTTGCCTGGCAAGCACAAGGGCCTGAGTTCAATCCCTGGCTCTGAAAAAAAAAAAAAAAAGAATTCATTTGGGATAACTTTTAAACAGTTTTATACAACACCATTGTTCCCATTGAACTATTCGTTTCTGTACATGATTTATCCAGTCTCTTGGTTTTTTCAGGCTTTTCCTAATACTTTGTCCTTGTATAGTTATATAATTTAAGTTGTTTTTTGTTTTGTTTTGTTTTTTGTGCAGGGTCTCATTATGCAGCTTAGATTCAGTGATCCTCCTGATTTCTGCCTCCCTAGTGCTGGGATTACAGGCATGCACCACCACACCCGGGCTTAGTTATACAATTTAAAGAGTTCTTTTATTTATATTTATTTAATCTATGACAGGTTTGTAAGGCAGGGAAACACAAATAACAAATTCTGAAAAGTTAAATTTAGACCTACTTTAAGGTCACACAGCTAGTCAGAACCAGAACTCCATGTTGTTACCACAGGAAGTAGGCTGCGTGAACAGGGAGGGGTCCTGAAGTAATACAGCCCCCAGAATTTGAGACTCAGGATATTTGTTGTTGTTTGGTCGTATTGTTTCATTTTGAAGTACTGAGAATTGATTCCAGGGCCTCTGCACTGAGCTACATCCTCAGCCCTTTTAAAACTTTTTATTTAGAGACAGAATCTAAATAAGTTATCTAGGCTGCCCTCAAACTTGCAATCTTCCTGCCACTGCCTCCCAGAATTAGTACTAGGTCTTGCCAACTACTTGGACAACTCATGCTTGAGTTCATGCTGGGCATCACCAACAACTTTAGAATAGCTCATTTACTATACCAACTGTGTGAGGTCGATATTTTCTCTTGCTGGGCTGATGAGATAGCTCAGTGGACTAAGCACCTGCTTAGGCAAGCTCAGGGACCAGGGTTTGATCTCCTATCCTGCATGCCATGTTGGCCCTGCCCCTGGGAAAGCTGAACTGGCAACCGAGTCTGGTGTGGTGGCACATGCCGGTAATCCTAGTGCTGGGGAGGCTGAAAATACGATCACTATGAGTCCGAGCTACATAGTGAGACCCTGTACCAAATACATAAATATATTTTTTTTCTTGATCCCTTTTTGAGACAAACTGAGACTGCTCAAAGCTAACAAGTATGAGCTACCACTCAATAGATTTCTCTGTGCCTGTTTTTTTGTCCATAAAATAAGGGTGATGATAATACCTGCTTCATAGTATCCAGTGACACTATGGAGGCATTTTTATAAAATATTGAGAAAGATATCCACACATAGCATTACGTATATAAATATTGGTTATTAGTTCTTACTACTATAATGGAATCCAGAGTCAAAATTCTCAACCCCCATGTTTGATTCCCTAATTTCTCTGTGTTCCAGCAAACTAGAAAAAATTGGGCAAAATGGAACACTTGACCATTAATAGAGCAAACAAACTGTATAACAAATCAAGAGTGTACTTTAGAGCTAGTTCTGAAAAGCTCAATCATTACTTTCCTCCTCTCTTCATTGGTACTGCATTCGGGGGAACAGTTATCTGAGAGGGCTATGAAGAACTTTGATTATTGTGAAGTTTTCCACCTCTTAGCCCATGAAGTTTTTGTTCCTGTCTTAAATCAGGACAGCTTTGCTGGAGGAACTGCTCTGGCCACTCACTTGATTTGTGTCTGATCTGTGCCCTTTCCCCTTTCACCCCATCCCCACATAAGGTGAGAAGCCTCACAAGTGTGAGCTATGTGACTTTACCTGCCGAGACGTGAGCTACCTGTCCAAGCACATGCTGACCCATTCCAACACCAAGGATTACATGTGTACTGAATGTGGCTATGTTACCAAGTGGAAGCATTACCTCAGTGTGCACATGAGAAAACACGCAGGTGACCTCAGGTATGAGCACACACATGCTTGCATCCTTATCCTGAGACCCTTCTATCAAACTAGCCTCCTCTTGGATCCAACATCTTGCCCTACCACACTCATTGTCATTGCCTACAGCTGGCCTTTGGTCCTGTGACTAACTCTTTGTGTTGAGAACAGTCTGGGCCAAAGGGAGGGAATTCAGACCTAGAGGATAGACCTGGAGACTAAGGTGTCGCTTGAGTTCATAGAGTTTTAGTCAGGAATGTGGATAGAATCTTTACTTTCTGACACCAATCCCAGCCACTTCCAACTTCAGGGAAGTCCTCTGACCTGTGGGTACAGCTATGTAGGGTGTTTCTCTACAGCTTTCATGCCTTTGTGGGAGCATGGACACAGAAAACCTGCCCTGTGGATATAGCTTTGTCACCTTAGTAGTCCACATGATTATGTTAGGAAGCAACAGAGTAGGGGTTAGAATGCTGGCCCTGGCTGCGGAAATGGCTCAGTAGAATAAGCGCTTGCCTGGCAAGTGCAAGGGCCTGAGTTCAATTCCTAGTTCTGCCAAAAAAAAAAAAAAAAAGAATGCTGGCCCTGAAGCTAGGCTGTCTGCCCCTCAACTTCTTTTGGAACTGTCCTTTAGCAGTTTATTAACCTTTTCCTTGGTCTTGATTATAAAATAGAACTGCTTATTTCCTAGGGTAGTAGAAAGGTGAGTTAAATGATTCATAAATGTAGAATCTGGCCTATAGAGTTTATTTGGTGGCTGCTCGCTGCTTGATTCTTGTGATTTCCTCCTTTCCTTCCTTGCCAGGTATCAGTGCAACCAGTGCTCCTATCGCTGCCATCGGGCTGATCAGCTGAGTAGCCACAAGCTTCGACACCAGGGCAAGTCCCTGATGTGTGAGGTGTGTGCCTTTGCCTGCAAGCGGAAGTATGAGCTGCAGAAACACATGGCTTCCCAGCACTACCCTGGCACACCAGCCCCACTTTATCCCTGCCGCTATTGCAGCTACCAGAGCCGCCATAAGCAGGCCCTGCTGAGCCATGAGAACTGCAAGCACACCCGTCTCCGTGAGTTTTGTTGTGCCCTCTGTGACTACCGCACCTTCAGCAACACCACTCTCTTCTTCCACAAGCGGAAGATCCATGGCTACATGCCTGGGGACCAAATCTGGCATCTCCGTGATGCTAGCCAAGAGCCAGGAGGGACCAAACAGTGTTTGGCACCCCCACCAGACTTGGAACCCTCAAGCCAGCTATCTGTCCAGCCTGAGGACCCAAGCCATGAACCTGGGACTGTGGTAGATCCCCACTTGGACCAGGCCCTGCCAGCGATTAGTGAGGAGGGCAGCACCAAGAGACAGAATGGCAGTGAGGCTCTCCATGAGGATGACCTGGTTGGCAGTCCCAGTCCAACAGAAGTGGAGGAGGGCAGCTGCACACTGCACTTAGAGGCCCTGGGTGTAGAGCTGGAACCTGTGGCTGAGCCACCACTTGAGGAACTCAATGAAACAGCCCCTGTAGAATTCAGGAACCTGGATTCCTCTGGGCCTGTGCGACTGGAAGGGCCGGATGGGCCAGAAGCACCAACAGTGTCTGGCTTTGAAAGTGTTGGGACTGCAAGCTTGGGTGCTGAAGAACTTGTTCTAGAAAAGCCTATCCCTGAGCCCACCAGAACTCTATCCTCAGAGGAGGTCACTAACAGCTGGGTAGAAAACTTCAAGGCAACTCCCCCTTCTGAATTGGCACCCTTGCCTCAGTTTCTTGAGTCAGAGTCTCTCCTCAAGGCTCTAAGGAGGCAGGACAAAGAACAAGCAGAAGCATTAGTGCTGGAGGGCCGGGTGCAGATGGTAGTGATCCAGGGACAGGGCCAAGTTTTCCGCTGTCCACACTGCCCTTTTGTCACTCGCCGGGAGAAAGCCCTGAATCTGCACTCTAGGACAGGGTGCCAGGGCCACCGAGAGCCCTTGCTGTGCCCTAAGTGTGGGGCTAGCTTTAAGCAGCAACGTGGCCTCAGCACCCACCTCCTGAAGAAGTGCCCTGTCCTGCTCAGAAAGAACCAGACCTTACCCAGAACAGATACTCCTATCCCACTGCATCCTCAGCCCCAGGGAACCCAGGCCTCAGAGGATGCAGAAGGCAGGAAGCCCCCACCTGCACCAGTAGAAGAAGAGCTACTGTTTCAAAAAGATGCTCTTCATAAGCTTCCCAAGGAGTCAGAAGTAGAGCCTCTTACCACACCCTCTGACTTCCCAGTCCCTCCTACAGGAAACTCCTCACCCACAGAGACCCCTGAGAGATTCCACTTTGAGCAGGGCAAGTTTCACTGCAATTCATGCACATTCCTCTGTTCCCGGCTCTCCTCTATAACCTGTCACGTGGCCGAAGGCTGCCGGGGAGGGCGTGGCCGTGGAGGAAAGCAAGGGTCCTACCAGAGCAATGGGAACTCTGTTCCCCTGAGTAATGAGTTTGGAAAAACTGAACCCATCATTGGTGATGGGGTCGCAGCTTCAGCATCTCAGAAGCAAAAGGTGGCCCTCTTTTCCTGCCCCATGTGTCCCTTCAGCTGCCAGCAGGAATGCGCCCTGAAGACTCACCAAACCCAAGGCTGTCGCCTTGAGCAGTCTGCAGAGCTGCACTGTGGCCTCTGCCCATTTAGTGCCCCCACAGCTGCTGCCCTGAGGCTCCACCAGAAGCGAAAGCACCCTGCTGCAACTCCAGCCCGAGGACCCCGGCCCCCTCTGCAGTGTGGGGACTGTGGCTTCACCTGTAAGCAAAACAGATGCCTTCAACAGCACCGGCGGCTCAAACATGAGGGAGTAAAGCCACATCAGTGTCCTTTCTGCGACTTTTCGACCACCAGGCGATACAGGTTGGAGGCTCACCAGTCCCGACACACAGGTGTTGGCCGCATCCCCTGCAGCTCCTGCTCTCAGACATTTGGTACCAACTCAAAGCTGCGCTTGCATCGGCTAAGAGTACATGAAAAGACACCTACCCACTTTTGTCCACTCTGCGACTATAGTGGCTATCTTCGCCACGACATCACTCGCCATGTCAACAGCTGCCACCAAGGTACCCCAGCCTTTGCCTGCTCCCAGTGTGAGGCCCAGTTCAGCTCTGAGACAGCACTAAAGCAGCATGCTCTGCGCCGACACCCGGAGCCCTCACACCCTGCCCCTGGCTCACCTGCCGAGGCTGCCGAAGGTCCCCTGCAATGTTCCCACTGTGGGCTGCAATGTCCCAGCCCTGCCAGCTTGCGAGGACACACCCGTAAACAGCACCCACGGCTGGAGTGTGTGGCTTGCCAGGAGGCCTTCCCTAGCCGACCTGCACTGGATGAGCACCGGAGGCAGCAGCATTTTAGCCACCGCTGCCAGCTGTGTGACTTTGCTGCCCGGGAGAGGGCAGGCCTGGTGAAGCATTACTTGGAACAGCATGAGGAGACTTCTGCAGCAACTGAGGCCTCTAATGGGGATGGGGACACCGTCCAGCCTCCTCTACATTGCCCCTTTTGTGAATTTGCCTGTCACCATCAGTTGGTACTAGATCACCATGTAAAAGGGCATGGGGGCACCCGACTCTACAAGTGTACTGACTGTGCTTACAGCACCAAGAACCGGCAGAAAATCACCTGGCATAGTCGCATCCACACAGGGGAAAAGCCTTACCGCTGTCATCTCTGCGCCTATGCCTGCGCAGACCCGTCTCGCCTCAAGGTAAGGTCAGAGGCACCTGGGTCAGGGAATGGAGAATGTGTAGGCTCTGGGTCCTCAAACTCTGACTTTTCCAAATATTAGTTCTGTGACTTTGGATGAGTTCTTTCTCTAAGGCTTATCTGGAAGAAGGGGATAATACTTACCAACTTTAGAGAATTACAAAGGTAAGATTGAATAAAATATGCTTACTATCGATAAAGGCATATAATAATTTGGGGATATCTGGATAATAACATTTATTGAGCACTTACTGTTTACCCAGCACTGTAATTTTAATTCTTTCAAAGATAAGAGAGGGATGTTTGTACTCTTTTATAGATTACCAAGAATCTGGGATTCACTCATGCAAGGACGTAGCTAATAAGTACCAGAGCTGAAAGGGCAGACCTAGGAAGAGGCTGAATAGGTTAGGTGAATGGCCATCCTGGAGGACCCAGTTAATAATTTAAGTGTAGATAGGATGGGAGCTAGGAACAGGATTGCCTGCCAACAGTTTCTCTGCCTTTTCACCCTTACCTCCCTATCCATTGATTACCATGGGATATACATGTTATGCTATGCTCTTTCTCTTGTTAGTACCACATGCGGATCCATAAGGAGGAACGGAAGTACCTGTGCCCCGAGTGTGGTTACAAGTGCAAATGGATCAACCAGCTCAAGTATCACATGACCAAGCATACAGGTGAGTCTGGGTAGGTTTTTTTTTGGCAGAACCGGGGATTGAACTCAGGCCCGCTTTTATTCTACTGAGCCATCTCCTCAGCCCCCTTTAGGGAAGGTAGTTTTTTGTTGTTGTTTTTGTTTTGGCGGAACCAGGGATTGAATGCAGGCCCTTGCACTTGCCAGGGAAATGCTTATTCCACTGAGCCATCTCCCTGGCCCCAAGTCTGGGTAGTTTTGACAGACCTAAAATATTCCTCTGTTCTCTGGTAATCCTGACCTCATTGAAATGATATGTGTTCTTGTTCAGATTCAGAGCAACATCATTTTTTACACTGGAGTCAGAGGGTAGGCTGAAAAAGTGTATATCATATGCCTTTCCAACTTACTAAATAGCTATCAGAAATAGAGTGGGGCTAAACCCAAGGGCACACGTACACTGCAAAGGCTTCCCAGGTAATTATGGTACAGGGTTGTTCTTCCCATTGAGAACCTCAATTCAGGCTTCCGTGAGGTCTACCCGGTTCCCGTACTGTTATTGTAACTATGGGGAAGAAAGTGGAAAATTCTCTTACTCTAATTTGCCCTTATCATCTCCTGGGTATGGAATCAGAGGTTCTCCTTCAAGGATTAATGATTATGTGCCTATGATTATTGCATATACTCCCCCACTTGGAGAACTAATCAGATACATTTCAAGCTTCTACGAATGCTACTTTTATTTTTACTGCTTGTCTCTTAAGCATTCTTTTACCTTTTGATTTGAACAGGAGCTGTGTTTAAATGAATTCCCAAATTCTTTGAATATCCTGTGATCAAAAGAGGGTTAGAATTTCCCATTTGACGGGGCCAGGGAGATGGCTCAGTAAGAGTTCAATCCTCAGTTCCGAAGAAAAGAATTTCCCATGTATGAGTTGTCAAAAAAATAAAATAAAATAAAGAGAATTTCCCATTTGATAACCTGTAATATTTGAGCACTCATTCCTATCAGGTGACTAGTTGGTTAGAGATCATGGTCATTAAAATCCACTGCTGTGTAAGCAATGGCTGTGCTGAGAAACACAGAAATACCACACAAGACAACAATATTCCAAAGATATGATCATTATATAGCCTGCTGCTTGTGTTCTTTATATCCCAGTATCACAGTGCCCTTATTGCCTGCCCCATTGTGATTTATTCCCTGTCCTATAGGACTAAAGCCATACCAGTGTCCTGAGTGTGAGTACTGCACCAACCGGGCCGATGCACTGCGTGTACACCGGGAGACTCGACATCGAGAAGCACGGGCTTTCATGTGTGAGCAGTGTGGCAAGGCCTTCAAGACACGTTTCCTGCTGCGCACCCACCTTCGCAAGCACAGTGAAGCCAAACCTTACGTGTGCAACGTGTGCCACCGTGCTTTTCGCTGGGCTGCCGGTCTGCGCCATCATGCCCTCACCCACACCGACCGCCACCCCTTCTTCTGCCGTCTCTGCAGCTACAAGGCCAAGCAGAAGTTCCAAGTGGTCAAGCATGTGCGCAGGCACCACCCTGACCAGGCCGACCCACACCAGGGTGTGGGCAAAGACCCCACCACTCCCACCGTGCATCTGCATGATGTGAAGCTGGAAGACCCCAGTCCCCCTGCTCCTGCCACTCCCTCCACTGGACCTGAGGGCTGAGCCTAGTCTGCCTCCCAGATGGGAGCTGGTTAGGCCAAAGATAGGGATCAGAGCCCACTTGAGGTGCTCAGGGCCTAAGGAAGGACTGGCTATGAGTTGTCAGTGCAACTATAACCCCCATGGGACTCTAGTCATAGTACTTTGAAATTAATGGCTGTATAAAGAAGAGACATGAGCCAAAACATTGATTTCTTTTTGAAGTGCACTTTTTTTTTTTTTGGCGGAACCGGGAATTGAACTCAGGTCCTTGCACTTGCCAGGGAAGTGCTTATTCCACTGAGCCATCTCCCTGGCCCCTTGTATTTTTAACCTGTGAATTCCCAGTTTCTGCACTATCACTCTACCAGAGTCCCTGTATATAAGGTCCTGATTTTATCTACTTGTCTTCTCTTCCTTTTTACTGTGTCATGGGCTGGGGATGTAGCTCAGCAGCACAGTGCCAGCCTGGGAAACTACAAGGTCCTGATTTTGATTCCTGGTACCAGGGGGAAAAAGCTAATAATATTTTTACTGTATCAGTTCCTGTTTTCTTTCAGCATCTTTAAGTTGTATCTAACTGCATGTGCTATTGTGCCTAATGCTCTATAAAGCATGTTAAACAAAACAACTACCAGCTTATGGACTCATCCAGCTCCCTGTTGTTTCCATTCTATCATCTAGACCTATCCCTGTCTTCTTAGACCTCTGCACCTTCCTTGTGTCTTCCATCTTACCTTGGAGATAGTTCTGAAAAAGATCACAGTCTGTCTTCTCTCTGACCTTGAGCCTCTCCTATCCCTTGCCTTTCTCCTAAGCTCCTTTGCCTGTACAAGGAGGATTGCCACCCACTAAGTCTCCCTGAAAGTACCTTTAGTTCACCATTGGTCTGAAGACTGCAGTGCTCAGCATCTGCCCTAAGAAATGAAAGCACAAGTGACTGGGGAGGTAAATCTTCAGTTCTTGAGTTTTCATAGTCCTGACTGCTTCATTATGTAATTGATCTTCTGACATACTAGGAACACTAACAAAAGTGTTAATAATTATGCTTACACATCCATAAACCAATACTATTTCAGGGTAATTCTCCAATGGGCCAGGACCACATAAACTTTTGTCTTCTTTTGTCCTGCCTCTTAGAAGCCTCTTCTGTGTCATTCCTACGCAGCACTTGCAGGAAGGCCCTGGAAAGCTCACAACTCTACCTTTTCACTTCCCATCTAAATCCCAAATGTCGGGCCGGTGAGATGGCTTAGTGGTCTAAAGCACCTACTTAGAACAAGCTAAACTAAGCAAAAGTACAGCGACCGCGGTTCAATCCCCAGCACCACATGCCAGCCAGCCCCGCCCCCTGGTGGGCTGAGCTGGCCACACACACACACACACACAATAAATTTAAAAAAATAAAAAATAAAAACAAAATAAATCCCAAATGTCCCCCCAACCCTTGCACCGCCCCAGCAGTGACAGACCATACAGGAGCCAAATTGGAGACAGAAGCTCTATTTACACCAGTGGGATCAAGAGGAGCAGTCCAGTGGGGACTTGGGGCTATGCAGTGTTGTCTGAAAAGTCAGTACAGTCTTGGGTCAGGTCTCGTTACCCAACCTTCTCCTGAGGAGCTTTGATCCTTGACTTATCTTTCCCTTGGCTCTGGGTTTAGAGGAAGTTAGGAGTGGAAAGGGTAATACTTCTGTAAGTTTCTGTGATCCAAGCTCCTCTAGGTTTCCAGCTGCAATCTGTCTTCACACCAGAGTTGATGGAAGAGATTAGTGGTGAGTCTGGATGTGAGATGAAGCCTACAGCAGTGGGAAGGAGGAACTCCAGCGTAGTATAAAAAAGATGAAGGGCAGGAAAGATACCAAAAGGCTTGTGAAAATAAGGGATGGGGGGTGAAAGTCCTAGATTTGCTTGTTAGGAAGGGCAAGGTAATTTCATGCCTGGTAATGCACTATCTTAAGACTTTTACTGTATGTCACCTTTACTTGCTCTCTTGGAAGCAGTTCTTCCAGGTTCTCATTATCTAAAGCCAGCCCCAATCTTGTATGAAGTACCCACCTCAGGATTCAGTCTCCATTTCTTCCTGGATGGAAATGTACACAAAGATGGAAGCTGGATGGAGGCTGGTGCCATCCCTGGAGAGCAGGTGTATGTGGCGGTAACCTGGAAAAAGGCAAAGGACAGTCTTAGGAGGACAGCCAAGAGTGGACATGTTGGCCAGGGCATGTTGGCCATCTCACCCTGTTGCATGCAGGTCCATGGCAGAGTGAACTGGCCAATGAAGTCATTTCGGGATTTCCAGTCATAATCCTTTACCACAAAACGGAGCATAGCAAGTTCAGGCACCAGGACTCGGAAGGACAGTGTCTGTCCCCAGTATGGATTAAAGCCTAAGGTGGGAGTAGGAAGGAACAAAGAAACAGTCACTATCTCCTGCAACTTCCCATATTGAGTTGTTTTCCCTGTGTTCTCATTTAATCTGGATGGTAGTTAGTATTTCACAGATGAGGAAACAAGCTCAGAATGGGTAAAAAGCTTTCCCAAGTCACCTGAGCCTATGGGGGATAGGATTCTTTGTACTATTCCATACTGTCTCTCTCCTGATAGTGGAGGGGTGAGCAGAGAACCGAACCATACTTGAAGAGGGCAGGACAGAAGGGAGACAGTAGCCATGCTCCAACCACCTCCTTCCCCAGCACCACCCAGTCTCTCACCATTGTTCTCCACATAGTTGGTCTCTTGCCGGGCTGTGTCTGCATGGATGCCAAAGATCTCCACTTTCACCAGTGGATCCACGATGCACTTCTCTTTGGTGTTGTTCACCTTGGGGAGTTGCTGACCACTGATCACCTGCAACCAGGTCACTGGAACCTTGTGAGTTCCTGCTCAGCCCCGCCCCTACTCAGCTTTCACCCTGAGAAGACAGGACCTTGTACTATCGCTTTTTGGTTTACAAAACACCTCCATGGGTTACATATTTGTATATCCAATCTGCGTTTTAAATATAACAAATTAAGGAGGTTTGAAAGTAGGCATGCAGATGGCAGCACAGCCTCTTACTATGTGCCAGGAGTTACAGACACTTGAGCTTAACTGCTACAATCTTCCCAACCCTGGGAGGTAGACAATAGTATTACCCCCATTTTGCAGGAGAACACACAGGTACAGAAAGGCTAAGGAACTTGTCCAATGTTACAAAACTGGGTAGATGTAAAGCTTGACAGCAGGCTCCAAAGTCTGATTATGCTGTTAACAATTAGGCTATCCTGCCTCTTGCAAATTTTCAACCAGTCACACACTTGGGGAGCCTAGCTGCCTCTTCCTCCACTTCAGTTCCAGCCACCTCAGATTCTTCCCATCAGTATCTCTTCCCATCATACCTGGACTAATAGGATCTGAGCCTTATAAGGACTGATAGGCCTTTCAGGATGGAAGGAACTCTGGACATCACGCAGGAAATCTGGCTTCAGCACGTAGCCACAGACACCGTTCTGGCGGAAGAGCCCATCACAGATGTCCATTTCAAGCCCTGCAGTCTGCATATTCATAGCCACTAGGGTTCCCAGGAGAAGAAAGGGAAAATTTACATCGGGGACCTTCCACCCCATCCCCATAGATAGAATCTCTCACCCTAGTACACTCTGAAGCATTCTAGTCCTGCTTCTCCTAAGGAACTTAGCTTCCACCAGTACCACCCACACCAACCCCTCCAGGTTCCTGTGGCCTTCGCACCCATCTGGCAGCCTGCATTCCAGAGCTCCTGAGGATTGTAGTTGGATGAATCTGTCCTCAGACCGCTGGGATACACTCGGCTCAACTGCCAGGTATTGTGCTGCACGAACTCATTGCCTGTAAATGGTGTAGGGATGGAGATGGAAGTGGGGCAAATCCTTTCACTTCCTTCACCCCCAAGGAGCCTGCCCACTCATTCACTCCTCCCTGACAGCTGAGGCTGGTTCCAGAAAGCTTCACATGCTACTCTGCTCCAGCCAGCCCACCTTCCCTCGCTTTCGTCCCTGCTGCCTAGTGTTCACTATTCCCCACTCATCTCCCTCCGCTCCTCTAAGGACTTTCTTAGCACCTTTATTCCTCTCTAACTCTCTTATCCTCTTTCTTGAAACTTACCTTCCTGCCCATGAGGTGTGAACCTACCCAACCCTTTTCCCTCCCTGTCCTTCCATTTTGGTCCTGACCAGCCTCCTTGACAAGGTTCCTGGCCTTGTTTTCAGAGAAGGACGATGTCTCATAAAAGTGGTAGTTGTCCCTTGAGTGAGAGAAGGAGTGGAATGGGACAGACTTCAAGTAGACAACCAAGGCAGAGAGGGCTGGACACAGGATGGGCTTGAATTTCTGGGGGAGAAAGTAGAGAAGAAGGTAGAATTGAGTCCTCAGCAGTCAGTGAGGGAAGAAGCTAGCAGCCATCCAACCTGAGCCTCTGCCCACTGCCTCCCCACTGCATTCTCCCTCCTGCCTCACCTTCAAAGGCAAGAGAAGAGACCCAGAATCAGGAATAGGAGCCTGGGTCATAATCTGACAACAGATAGGCGGACAAAACAGCGGGCACTTCACAACCTGGGGATGGGAATGGGAATAAAGACATTCTTTTTTTTTTTTGGTGTTTTTTAAGACAGGATTTTGCTATGCAGTTCAAGATGGCCTTGAACTCACTTTGTAGCCTGGGCTTGCCCTGCCTTAGCCTTAATCCCAAATGCTGGGATTATAGGTGTGAGCTACCATGCCCAGCAAGCCATTCTGCATATTGTTCTGGGATTGGTTTCAGCCTCTGAGCCTGGCGAGTCTGCTCTATTTATCTTTTAGATAATAGGTATTTATTTTTAAACAGAAGCATCATCCTCCCTACTTCTTTTTCTTCTCTCTCTCTCTCTCTCTCTCTCTCTCTCTCTCTCTCTCTCTCTCTCTTTTTGGGGGGTGGTAGTATTTTGTTTTGGTTTTTGTGCTTTTTTTGTTTTTGTTTTTGTTTTTGTTTTTTTGAGACAAGGACTAACTGTGCAGTTCAGGCCAGCCTTGAGCTATATAGACCAGGCTGGCCTTAAGCTCCCAGCAATCCTCATGCCTCAGCCTACTTCTGTTTTACAAACAATAACCTTTTGTCAAAATGTTCATGAATCCAGACAGATATGTCAAGGTATACAAATGGTCACAGAATTCACACCTGGAAAGCTATGAGAATCACAGAGTAATATATTTGGATTTGTCTCCTGAATTCCCATTTCCAACCCTGAACACAGTAGCAGGTTAAACACCAGAGAGAATGGTGTATGGTAGAAGTCAGTGAATGAACCAAGCAAGTGCACAGAAGAGACAATGCAGACTTCAAACCTGGACTGTACAGGCCCAACAAGTGACACCTCAGCCTTCTGGCTCCCCATAGGGAGATACACGGACCAAGCTGGCACAGCCTTCTCAGAGTCTCCGCTTTCCCACTTCACAGTTCTTTCTTTTTCATCTCTGGTTATTTCTGGCCTTTCCCCAAACTCAGATTTCATCCTTTCCAAGGAAGAAGCTTTCTCTAGGTAGCCCACTATGGTTGTGGTCACAGCAAATATTTCAGTGACTCCTTTTTAGGCAGTGTAATAGTGTTACACACACTCAGTGGTTTTCAAACTAGCCTTTAAAGAGAATGACCCATACAAAGATATGTCCAGCACCTAGGGGGTCCAGCAGAGCCAAATGAGAGCTCCAATTAGAATCGTTTTGCATTTACCTACTTTGTTTACTGAGTTTTTGTATAAGATCATGTTAGGAAGAAAGAAGGAAAGCAAGAGAAACAAGGATTTCATGGCCCAAAGAAGTCAGAAAGCCATTGCAATAGATCTGTAAACAGCTATATATATGCCATACATGCATTCTAATGCCTTTTATTAGGAGGAAGGTTCATTTTTCTCCTCGGCCCTCTACCTTGCCTGGCTTTAGTCTCATCACAAACCAACTTTTGCTGCATGCTAACCAAATGCCCTGGCGTGAAGGCAGCTCCTGCCCTACCTTCTTTTTGTCCTTACTCCGAAGGAATGGCTCCTCCTCCTGTGGCTCAGGCTCCAGCTCGGGCTCCAGCTCTGACCCCTGCTGTAGTTCCAGGTCACACTCTGGCTCCTCTTCATCATCATCCTCAGCATCCTGCTCAAGCGTTTCTAACTTCTTCCCCTTCAGCAGGATCTTCCCTCGAAGTTGCTAGAAGAAAAAAATGGAGGGACCTATCAGTCTGCTGAGTCTCTCCCTGAGATTCTGCAGATCTCATTTTCTCAAAGGTAGAGGAAAAAAGTTCCACAGGCTGTTCCACAGGAAGAGATCAGTTGCCTGTTACATAACATAGGAATTCCCTTATTGTTAAGCAAACTTATAATATCTCTATCTATATGGAAAAAAATAAACATAGGCCCCTACCTCACATCTGACATACTAACAACTCCTTCAAAGATTTACACATGTACAGCTGGGCATGGTGGCACACACCTGTAGTTCCAGCACTAGGGAGGCTGAGTTAGGAGGCTCACCACAATTTCAAGACCAGCCTGGGCTCTACAGTGAATTCAAGGACAGTCTACAGTACATAGCAAAACCCTATCTCTAAATAAATAGATAAATAAACAAATGTATGAGAAGAAAATAGCCTCTAGAAAGGTGATAGGAAAACTGAATTCTAAAATAGAAAAAAAATAGAAGATTTGACTACATAAAGCTTAAAAATTTCTATAAGATGAAAGATGCTAAAAACACCAAAGCAAGGGCCAGTTCAATAGCTCAGTGGACCAAAGCACCTGCCTAAGCAGGGACTGAAGTTTGATCCCCAGCGTACTGGTGCTGGCCCTGCCCCCCCCCCCAGGGGGTACACTGAGATGATGAATGAGACTGAGCATTCTGTAATCCCGGTGCATGCCTATAATCCCAGCACTTGGAGGATGATCCCATTCATGGTTTTTTAAAAATGTGACTATAAGCCCAGGTGTAGTGGCGCATGCTTGGAGTTCCAGCTCTCAGAAGGCTGAAGCAGGTGGATTGTCACAAGTTCTAGGCCTTCCTGGACTACTTAGTTCAAGGCCAGCCTGAAGTACATAGTAAGACCCTGCCTCAAAGAACAAAATAAAAATGTGCATATAAGCATAATATGGCTGAATGTGATGGCACACATTTGTAATCCCAGCACCTGGGAGGCTGAGGCAGGAGGATTTCTGTGAGTTCCAGACCAGCCCGAACTGCATAGTGAGAGCCTGTCTCAAAAAACTCCTAAAAATCCTAATAGGGGCTGAGAGTGTGGCTCAGTAGTACAGCATGTGCTTAGCATAAGTGAGGTTCTGGGTTCTGAATCCAGCATCAAATAGGTATAGAGATAGATAGATAGATAGATAGATAGATAGATAGATAGATAGATAGATAGATAGAGATAGACAGACAGACAGACAGACAGACAGACAGTTTTTTTTTATGGAATAGGCTGGGATCATGCTGGGATGAGACTTCCCTTGTCTTCTTAGTGTTTCTATGGCCTATACCTATATCAGTTATAAACTATCATGAAAAAAATTAAGATACTTCCACTGAAAGGAAAATATACAGTGAATAGTCGATTGAAACTTAATAGAGAACTATAAATAGAATCCTACCTTCAATTAGATCTTTCAAAATGAAATTGTCCCCAGGCATATTAAAGAGAAAACTAAAATACAAAAAAAAGAAAAGAGCAAGATAGCTCAACTGAGGACAGAAAGATGGTAACAAGAGAGCCTGGAGGAAGGAGCCACAGTTGGAGAGGGCAGAAGCCACTGAAGAGACCAGGTCCCTACCTCGGGTGAGGGCAGCTGTGTGGGCAGCAGCCCATCCAAGGGGACGTCCAGCAACTGCTCCCCCAGGATCTCAGTGAGGTGCTGTGCCAGCATCTGCTGTTGCTCCCAGCTGCAGTGGTTCTCCAGGGACAGGATGAGTGGGTAGTCTGATGTCTGGTGAGAGACAAGGGGGAGGCTGCACCCACAGTTCTAAATCCTGTGACTTCCATCTCTAAACACTTAAATCAAAACGCCCTCTATTTACTCAGTTTAGTGCCCTGAGTGCTAAATCCCTCCGTCTCAGCTACTTGACTCAGTGAAACTTCGGGGGCCTGGGGTCCATGCCCTGGTACGCTACTCACATGTAATGATTAACTCTTGAGATCCCAAATTTCATACCTGTGCCAAATCTGACCCAGGTCCCACTGAGACCTTTGGGCTTTCAGGCTCAAAGTAGGAGGGCCAGGTCATTCCCTTTGTTATGTGTCTGCACTACATCCTCAAACATCCATCCATCTCCAAATTCCTATTGTCCCTCGTCCTACAAGTCACTGTTCTGGGTCCTTATCCAACCTCTTCCAGACAGTGTATAGAGCTTGTTATAAGTAGTAGTTACTAACCACTAGTAATTACCTCTTTGACTGCTGATTACTAGTAACACTATCACATACTTCTGTAATCCCTTAATACTGTCCAGTGCTTTAAACTGTCTATATAGTTGATGCCATTTGCAGTTACCTTTCCTGTACCCCTTTCCCCCCGGAACTGAGTCAGTCATTTCCCTCCAGACTGTTTCTCATCACTTAGCGCTATTCCCAATCTTGGGCCACTACCTGGAATGCATACTGTGCTACTGCAGCCACGACATCTTTGAATGGGATGCGGGAGGTCAGGGTGTGTCCATGGTAAACAACAGGTTCCCCATTAGGTCCATCCCAAACATCCACCTCCACACAGCGGCACCCCCGCTTCAGGGCCCTGTAAGAACAGCAACAGCCCAAAAGCAGGGGAGGTCAGGGTATGATTTTTTACCCAAGAACCTTCTCTGCACTCTGGAGAGGACAGTACCACTTGCCCATCCAAAGGCCTACAAGCTGTATCCCCATGAAGATATCTCTGTTTCCTGAGATCTAGCTGCAGGTCACACTGATCTCCACTCCTACCCCACCCCACTCCTAATACTCCTAAACAACGCACTGCCTCATATTTCTGATGTTCCAGTTGTACCTTCTTGTACCAAATCTGGGAAATCAATTTCTTGGTAAATGGACACCCTACACACACAAGGGTGATTAAACTCAGGGCTTCACACATGCTAAGGATGTGTTCTACCACTGGGCTACCCTCCCAGTCCCTTATTTTCTCAACTTTTAGACCTAAAATGGAAAATTAGAAATTTCATTTATTTTTAAATAAAAGCTCCACTCATTTTTCTATGCCTTTAAACTACTAGTTTAGTTACTAGCACCAACAAGATCTGACTATTTGATCTAATATATGGTTAATCACAATAAAAGCAACTTCTATGTATGTATTGGCTACTGACACATGGATTAACTCATTCAGTGTTCACAACAACCCCGAGAGGAAAGACACTATTATCATCCTCATTTCATAGACAGGAAACAAAGCATAAAGTTAATTACTTAGCTGCAGAGCACCTATCCAGGGAGCCAGAATTTGACTCCTGAGTCTGACTCCAGAACCCATGTTTCTAATCCTCTGTTCTACTGCCTTCTCTTTAACATGCAGTTATTTATCCAAAATAAACATACAAAGGCCTATGCATTCAGGGAGTTTCCCAGGTTGCAAAAAAGAAGTTCCATTTACCCATAGGGTTTCAGTACTATTCAATACGTTCTCCAAGTATCTCATGTATCCAGGCTCAGCCCCTGATCCCCCATACAAGACTTATCAACCCATTATCCACAGCCTCCCCTCATCTTCCCACATTGATTCCTTCTCATGAGCTGGCCCTCTTTTGTACCCCACCGCACCGTATGTATCCCTCGACGCTGCTCTGGCCACACAGCTGGTCCCCCACCAGGTAGGTGTTGTGAGAAGAGTTAATGAAGTAGTGACTCAGAGGCTGAGTCATATCCTGGTAGATGGGGAGACAGGTGGGGTTGAAGATGTCTCCATCCTTAGAACAGAGGTAGCTGAGGAAGCCATCCAGGCTTAGCACATGCCGTAGTTTGCCTAGGGTGTGGAATGGAGAGTACCAGAGTGAGAAGCTCTGAGTGCAGGACACCCAGCACACCCACCCACAGCCCACCTTCCACCCCATGCACTCTGGGATCCTGCCTTTCACATAGTTCCTATTCTCAGCCTCTAGATCCCAAATATTCCCCACCAGTGCCTGTTGTTTCCATCATGCCCATCCTTAGAGACCATTAAAGGGAACATGTAAGATCACTCTCATTCAGAGCTGTTCAACAGGACTTTCTACAATGTTGGAAATGTTCTTTCTGCAGTGTTGAAAATGGCAGTCTCTAACCACTTGTGACTATGAGCACTTGAAATGTGACTATGTGACTTTCATCCTGAGGGACTACATTTTAAGTACTACTTGATTTTTTTTTCTGTATTTAGGACAGTGTCTACAGGGTCTATAGGGTCTCACTATGTAGATTGGACTCATAGTGATTCTCCTGTTTTCAGCCTCCCAAGTGCTGGTATTACAGGCACGCATCACTACGCCCAGTCTAGTACTACTTGATTCTAGTTGATTTAAAGCTAAATTTAATTAGTCATATGAAGCTGAATTATCATAATGGATACAACAGTATCCAGTGTGAAAGGCTAATTTTATAGCTGGGAAACTGAAGCCTAGAAAGATTCAAAGTCAGAGAGACTCATTAGCAACATGGCTAAGATATCTGTGTTTTCCTTCTTGAGCTACACAGCTGTGTGATCTAGGTCCTGAGGATCTTTCCCTACCATCAACACTCCCACGTGATATTTTGGGAAGCATTTATCAAAATCTCCTTAAACTACACTCTTGTTGAAGACAGGGACTGTTACCCCTTCTTTTATGGCTTCGATCTAAAATAGTCTCAGAAGTCTGACATGTTCAGTAGCCAGGATTTTGAGGTTAGTAGGTCATGGGGGAACTGATGAATTCATAGCCAAATGTGCTATTATGAGGTGGAGGGCTCTTGGAAAAGGAGATTCAGTGGGAGTATGACTTAGAAAACTATATTCTTGTCCCTGGATCCTCCCTCCTCTCTGCTTTCCAGCTGCCATGGGTTGAGTATCTTTCCTCAACTATGCTCTCCTACCATGCCATTTCTGCCTTCAAGCCAGTCAACCATAGACCTAACCCATGTCAAACCATGAGCCAAGTAATCTCTCATCCTTTAAATTGGTGGGTTTGGGGTATTTTGTCCTAGTGACAGGAAAGTGACTAATGCACTTTCCATAACCCTCATGCTTCTCAAGGTTGGTTTCATAAAATAATAACAATGACTAACAAGCATTTGCTCTATGTCAAGGATACTATATGCAACATTTCACTTGATGCTCTCACTGACACAATGTGCTATGAGAAGTTAGGTAACTTGCCATGGTCATATAACTAGTGACTGATTCTCAAATAAGAAGCTCACTGGGGCCGGGGAGATGGTCCAGTAGAATCAGTGCTTGCCTGGCAAGCACAAGGGCCTGAGTTCAATCCCTGATTCCGTTAAAAAAAAAAAAAAGAAGCTCATAGATTATCAATTGCAAAAACAGAGTTCATCAAGAGATGCAGAGCATAAATATGTCTCAGTTTGCTTTATAGACTGAGCACCTAATTTATTAAAAACAGATTTATTTATTTATTTATTTATTTATTTTGTACCAGGGATTGAACTCAGGACCTTGTGGTTGCCAGGCAGGCACTTACATTGCTGAGCTATCTTCCCATCCCTAAAAGCAGACTTCTTACAGTTCTGGTAATCCAAGATTGAGGGGACTGTATTTGGTGCGGATCTTTCTGTACTATCCCATGGCAGAAGATGAAAGGACAAGAGAACACTTGGGAGAGCAAGAGACAGGAAGGGAGCCAAATTTATCCTTTAATCAGGAACACACACATAGGCTTTGATAGCTAACCCACACTCATAATAGCAGAGCCCTCAAGACTTTTTTTTCAGAACCTGGGATTGAACTCAGGCCCTTGCAATTGCCAGACAAGCACTTATTCTACTGAGCTATCTCCCTGGCCCCAGCCCTCAAGACTTAATCAACTCTTTGAGGTCCTGCCTCTCAGGCTTTCAACCTCTCTGTATTGTAACAAGGCGAGGCACAGTGGTGCATTCTTGTAATCCCACCATTTGGGAGGCTGAGGCAGAAGGTCATCCTGGGCTACAAAGTGAATTCAAGGCCAGCCTGAACTACACAGTGAGACTTTGTCTCAAAAAAATATTAAATTGTCAACACTTTTGTGTTGAAGATTAAATTCCCAACACAGTCTGAGTGACATATTTAAGCTATAACAAATGTAATTGATGTATATTGGATCTTGCACTGGAAGAGCAGCTCTTAACCCTCTGACATACTCCTCCAATTTAATCTTCTGACATTATTGCTTTAAAGCCCCCATTATTTTTTAACACCCTCAAAAATCAAGGCCTCATGTATGCTAGCCAAGTGTTTTACCTCTGAGCTATATGCATAGCCAGTCACTAACACTTTCTGCTTATGTTAATTTCACAAGAGCAGTGCCCTTGTGTAACCCAGAGCTACTTTATCGCTGGTGCTCAGGACAGATGATGTATTGTAGTTACTCAATAAGCATTAACGAATGAATGAATGAATGAATGAATGAATGAATGAATGAAATGGAGTAGAAATGGAGACTCAGGAAACATGGATAACTTGCCCAGCTCTCAATCATACTATGATATCTTTCCTTTCTTTTTCTTTTCTTTTCTTTCTTTCTTTCTTTTTTTTTTTTTGTATTTTAGGGAAGGGTCTACAGGGTGTTTAGGGTCTCACTACTAGATCGGATTCATAGGGATCTGTCTGTTTACAGCCTCCCAAGAGCTGGGATTACAGTTATGCGCCACTATGCCCAGTCTCAATTGCTGTCTCAGTGCACCCCATGGGCAGGGCCGACAGGGCAGGCCTCTGCGCCTATTTGTAGGTGCTTTAATCCACTGAGCTATTTGGCCAGCTCTAAAAAAAAAAAAAAAAAAAAAAAAAGTAAAAGTTTAACATTGCTTTCTTTATAAAGCAGCTAAGAATTAAAATTCTTTTTTTTTAAATATTTATTTATTTATTGTGGTGTGTGTGTGTGTGTGTGTGTGTGTGTGGCCAGCTCAGCCCACCAGGGGGCGGGGCTGGCTGGCATATGGTGCCGGGGGATTGAACCGCGGTCCCTGTGCTTTGCTTAGCTTAGCTTGTTCTAAGTAGGTGCTTTAGACCACTGAGCCATCTCACCAGCCCCAAGAATTAAAATTCTAATGTATTACAATACTATTATACACAAAAAGAGGAGCTGGGGCTATAGCTCAATGATAGAGTACTTGCCTAACATGTTCAGGATCCTGGGTTTGATTTCTGGTACTGCACAAAAAAAAAAAAAAAATTCCCTTGGGGGATGGGGAAGAGCCCTTGGGCCCTTGGGACTCCTCAACAAAACTCTCTTCAGCTGAGAAAACAGCTACCTGATTTCCTGGCAAGTGCAAGGCCCTGAGTTCAATCCCCAGTACTGCAAAAAAAAAAAAAAAAAGGTACCTGAATATTAGATAATTAAATTTGGCATAGTCAAAAGGCTAAAGAGTTTTCTATGTTGAAAAACAATAATGTTTTGTTAAGATATTAAGATGCTTTTTGTTAAACATACAAGAAAAGATTGCACCTGTTGATTTATAAGGTTATAGTGAGAACTTAATTAAGTAAAGAATGTGAAAGTGTTTTGTAAGTAATTTACTATTAACATAGCTTGGCTCACATTCTGGAAGGGCAGAAAAATGGAAACAAGCCTATGAAAGAAGCAAAGTGGAAGAAAATATGAGGACCTAGAAGACATCTCTTTGCTACACTTGTTAAATGCTAAATATTTTCCCTCATTATCTCCTCAGCCAGAAGAGAAGAGATTTCTAGCTCTGGGGCTTGGAGACATTGAATCACTTGAATTTGGAGAAATCCTGGGAAAGGGCACAGAAGCAGTATTTAAAAGGACAGCAAGGACTAGGGAGATGGCTCAGTAGAATAAGCGCTTGCCTGGCAAGCACAAGGGCCTGAGTTCAATCCCAGGTTCCACAAAAATAAATAAATAAATAA